AGTAATGGATGTGCCAAAAATAGCGGTACTAATAAAAGGGGTAGTAATAATGTTAAGTGTCGATTCACAAATCAAGTAGAAATCATTGGCATAGGCAGATACTGTAGGAAGGAGTGTACTACAGGCAAAAACCAATTATTCGAGTGCTCAGAGGTCTTTTATCATTATTTATGGAAGGAACAACAGGACGCCAGAGGCTGAATGACCGCATAACTCCTTCGGCCCCGAACCGATGTTGCAATTGTATTTGTGGAGTTTTCAAAGTCTACCAATCGCCATACCGCACCCGCATAAATTTCGAAAACTAAATGCAAATATTTTGGAAATTAGAAAATTTAATTTTTTAGCAAACATTATCGTAACGGCTTGTGGAACACCTTTGTGGAAATTCTTTATAGGCGTATAACATCGGGCTATACAGACCTCTCGGGTAAGGCGGCTTTTTACGGTTTGGGCTCTGTGCTCAAAGTTCGCCGTCATCCGCGTCTTGGAAGCCTCTCCGTGCTGTGTAGGTTCCTCTACAATTTTCGTGAGTTGTCGCAAAAATCTAAAAAAATGAATAGTCCAATGGACGTGTTGGGATACGGAAGTTTATTGCTACGGACAAAAAGATAATTGTTATATCACAGATTCAAACTCTTCACGCAAGTACAAAAGATTCAGAGTATAAGATAGGAGGAGGTGGTGTCAGAGGATATCATGGGAAAAAGATAGATCCTTTGTGTATTTCCGTCATGAACATCACTAGACCACTCGTCCTTTAGTTTCTGACTTCCGTTTCTATTTCTTCCTTTTTCCTTATTTTAAAAACTTGGTTATGGTTCGGCTCATTCGCTACAACTGCCTCCGTCAGATGGTGCCCCGTTCTCAAGAATTGTATGTATGGGGCACGGCTATGTAGTCGCTTCGACCTCCATTGTGGGTTGGGGTACTAGGTGTGGTGGTAATATGGGTAATTTGACAGAGGTAACCGTAGAGGGCCGTGCTTTGTGTTGCTTTGGTTTGCCGTAAATTATGGTAGAGGTGGATCCTTTCTGGCCTGGAAATGCTCGATGCCGTAGGAAAAGGTTGCGCGTTGATAGGGTGACCCGTGAATTTGCCAGTCGTAGTAGATTTTTTCCGATCCTATGCCATACGTAAACATGAACGTGCTAAATTCAGTGATTCGAATAATTCCTATAGTACAAGCACGTATTGGTCTGGCGGGATTTTGTCTGTTCTTTGTATGGGGAAGTTTGAATTCGATGGTAGGCGGACATCTCAGTTTTGAGGGTTATGGTTTCCAGTATAGTGTTTAGAAAGTCGACTTAAGCCCTTTGTGCGCCCTCTAAATAGATTGGCGTTGCCTGTGCGTTTTCTAAAAGTAGAAGGTGGCAGACATCACAAATCAGATTGCTTTCGAATTTGACTCCGTAGTCGGAATAGAGTGAGTGGGGACTCCCAACGCATCAGATAATTCACTTAGTAGTGTAGCCGCCGCGGAGGCTGTATCCTGTTGGCAAAACGGTGTAGCCTCCATACACTTTGTAAAGTATTCGACCATTACCTGTATGAACATATCACTCCTGGTTGTGTACGGCAGTAGGCCCATTAGGTCGACGCCACCGCACTGGAATGCGAAACCTGTGGGCCTCAATAGTAATGGCGCTCTCGGTTTCAGATTGCGTGGCCTTAAAGAAAGCGCGTGCTTAGAAAAGGTGGTTACTTGTCCACTTAAGTGGGGCCGCCAGAAGTATTTTAATTACTGTCCCTGCTTTCGACTATCTGACGTGCCCTGTTTACGGTGTATAACTTCCAGTAAGGATAACGTTAGGGAGCCACATACAGTGAGTTGAGATATGCTATTGTAACGTCTTTAAAAATGGTATGTAGTTTTCGATAAGTAGCTGTGGCCACTGTGCTCGTAGATTTGCGGCGTCCTTCGAGAAACTGCATAGTTCATCATCTGTTGGGGGGGGGGAGGGGGGGGGTATTTGCCGAGTATCTGGTGATCATGGGCGATGGCGTATCTGAGTCTGTATTTTGAGCTTTGGTCCAGTGCTAGTACGTCTTTTGACGAATGATGATTATGGCGACAGTGTTGAGTTTTCCTGAGGAACCTTCGGCTGACAGAGTTGACGAACGACGGGACATTGCATCAGCATTGATGTTTTTCGTCCCAGCACGGTTTTGGAAATTAAAGTCAATTTGTAAATATTATGCTGTCTTGTCAATTGCCCTTCAGCATCCTTTACTGTTTTTAGAAACTGGCATACTTCGCAAACTATTCTAACGAGGAACTTCTTACTGAGGAGGAGGGGTCTGAATTGTTTGAAGAATGTAAGCAATGACGGTAGTAACTCGGATATGGCATTTCTGTCACTTATCGTTGATTTAATACTCTGAGGCGGTTATTTTAAGCAATGAGGTAAATATACCAGTTTAGCTTTTTTCCACACTTATTGTTGATCGTATTCGTATTTTTCAAATTATGATCATACTCTTTGAACGTAATCTACCGTTTAAATTGTTCTTTGTTTTAGTATATCCCCATCCCATATATCTTGGTTTCGACGGCTGTGCGGACCGTGGAATGGTCTTGCACGCTGACTGCGAATGGTTTTTGACCTTTTCGGCTTGTATAACAAAGTAAACCAGGCAAGTGTTCCATGCGAGGTCTTGTAAGGTAGTCGGTAAAATTCAGTATCAGGCACCTGCATCGATGTATCGTGTTGCAAGATAAAGACCACGAGGTCTCATTATATTCTATCTTCATTATCTTCTATATATATAGCTGATTAATCCGTTCGCTTTAGTTTTGGTCTAATCAGGCATGACATATTGTGCTGGTAAAGCTGAAGAATCGAACACGTTCTCACAGTGGGGAACTATTTACGTGAAAACATTGTTGGGAGTAAATTATAAACTTTTGAAAGACGCGATTCTCCCCTTGTAGTATTCAGGAAGAAATATGTCAGGATAACAGGGACTAGAATAGGCAGAATCGACGGATCTGCTTGACAGATAGCATCACTTATAGGAAGCACAATAAATCTTTAGTATACCTTGTGGCGGAGATGCTGCCTACACAGATGAAACATTTCTTATGTCGCGATGCGTTTGAATCTGGATTTCTCCTGATGCTGATCTTCAGTTATATTTATTATTATTATTTTATGTAACATGTTCTCCTGACGAAGCTCCTAATTTATATTTTACTCTTCTATGCCCCATTTTCCGTCATTAGATTTTAGCAGCATTAACTTGTCTAGTAATTTGGCATCTTTCAAATACCACTGGTGTTCGGAATCTGCTTCCATTTCATTTTAATTAATCTCTCGTACCTCATAACTTACTTTTCCGTTCCTTTTGGAAGTTTATAAAGGAAATCCTCGTTGAGGTACCTTGATCGAGCTGCTTCAATAGATGGAGCTGATCCAATCAGCTCGGTTGTGCTGAGTGAATCCAAGTATCCTAGTAGTATCGTGTATCGAGGACTTCAGATGTGCTTAGTTTTTTTCTACCCTCTCCTTCGTGTCGGGTTGTAGAGCGGGATCGCATTTCTCCGCTGAGAGTGTAGGCCATGATCGCTTGTCGTAATTTTGAGAAATGAAGGCGTCTTACTTGGGACATCTTGGGCGCTAATGAGACGTGAACCTTAAGGCATATGTAAAAAACATGAGTCCACCTATAAACCTCAGCAGTTTTGGCACCCGTATTAGTGCTGAGGACTGTCTGCCCACTCCTACGAACAAGTCTCAGTTCTCAACAGAGCAGTCAAGTTTGCATGCCCTCGCCTTCCCCACTGGACCAGGGCTGTGGTGCGCGTCGCCTGCAGCTGACGCTGTAGCATGGATCGTAATCCTGCAGTCGGACACATCGTACGCGGGGTTTCTTTAAAACGGTGGTTACGGGTAGATCTCTGACAAGATCTCATATCGGTTTCTGCAATTTGTCTCCCCTAGTTCCTTGGTCCGGAAACTTTACTGCAAGTCAGCATTAGTGAGCGAACTAATTTGGTGACGGTTAACGGCCGCTGTAGCACAGTGCCTCATTCGTCTGCGACTCGGCAACACTGTCACTCCTGCCTATTCGTCAAACCCGTGGGGCTGCTTACTTCGCAGCCCACTGCTGAATCCTGTTACACTTTTCCACTGTGGCGAGCATGACAGCCAGCAACTAGAACAATGAGTCAATCCGTGTTCCCGACCTCTTAGTGTGGCCTTTGTGGCACTCGTGTGAGCATTGATATCCCCTCTACTCTGAAATCTGGTAATTTTTAGTTGTGGAACCATAGCACGTATGAAATACCTGGACGGACTATTTGGTGATCGTGCTGTCATACGTGCACTATGGATACTAGGCATAAATATCGACTGCCCGGGCTGTTTGGCTTGGTAATCCACTGATCTCTCCTCTCATGTCGCCTTGACTTGCTATTTGCGCCTGTACAAGTTGTGCACGTTAGATCCGGCGAAAGTTCATGGACGAACTCACAGAAGGGCCAATACTGCGCCCTTGCAGGAGGGACAAACCTCGACGCTAGGGTGGACGAATTATCCATGCGCTATCGCCGCTTCTGTACATAGTGCATGTACGCGTTTCATCTCCCTCGTCCCTTATTTAAACTAAATTTCAGCATGCCGTGAGGCTTATCGCAGACAAGGGAACCAGTTAATCGTTCTACCTATATTACGCCGTGCTGGTTAATTTTTATTTTTTCTCTTTGCCCCTAGCTTTCGCCATACTGACTGCCGTCCCCGGCGGCTGTCATTCTTCTACCAAACTTATTTCGCCCTTCTGCGATGAACTGGTTTCTAGGACACTATCTTGCCGGCACTTTTGTTTCTCTTCTTGTCCTCACCGGCTTCTTGCTCGAGTGCTTTCTTATTGCTCCGCACTCGATACCCTACGGAAGCGCCATCTATAACATCCTGTTCCTGTTTGCACTTTTCTGCATTGCAAATTTCATGCATAATTTGTACACAATGATTTTTCATGATCCATCCATTCGCTCAGTTATGTTGTCTAATAGAAGAGGGCCTGATTGGTCTTACTGTCTCAGATGTGAATCAGTCCGTCCGCCCAGAGCCCATCATTGTCGTCGGTGCGATGTATGCATTCTGAGGTTTGACCATCATTGCACCTTCCTGGGTAGGAATTCTATTTTCTTTTTTTAAAAGTCGACTAATTTCGCCGGCCGTTTGTTTCTGCCACTCATCTGTTGTTATTTTTTCTTTCCCAATAGGCCAGTGCGTTGGTTATCGGAACATCGCCAGCTTCCTACATTTGTTGGTCTACTCCTCCATTATCTGCCTTTTCTCAACTTGTTTCAATTTGCCGTATTTCGTAAATGTTCTGACTCCCGACTGGCGCATCTGGCAACGTGCTATCTGCCTTATCAATCCACTGCCTTTCTTCCTCCTCGGCTGGTTTTCTTTCGCCAACTTCCTTCTCTCTATCCTCATGTCGGCCTGTCTAGTCCTTGGTCCCGCATTCGCCATCTTCTTTGTGCATCATTTTCTGCAGGTGTGTCGGAACCAGACAACCATCGAGATTTCTATCGCTTCGCCAACCAAAGTGATCACCGCCATCTGCCATGAAGACGAACTGCGACCGATCGAGTACGATATCGGCCGTGCAGCCAATTTGGAACAGGTTTTAGGGCCGCGTTGGCTTATAACCTTTTTCTGCCCCTTCATCAACTCCCCTCCCATATCCGACGGTTTAAGTTTTCCGGTCGGAATAAAGTCAAGGAGCAGTAGCATTCATATTTAGAAGCATTTGTCTTCACTTTGTGCGCATTTTGACACTCCACATCCTGATGTACATGTTTTCTGGTTCTTTTTACTGAGAAAGAAAAGAATTTTCTTCTGCAAGTATAGAGAAGCTGACTAAGGCACTGTTCCTTCTCAGTGTTGGTGTTCACCTGAAGTTGTTGGAGAGCACCTGGGAGGTAGCTTTTCGCTCCACTCGTAAGAGATGGTTGCCAAACGCACCTTGTTTGTAGTAAACGCGTGGACCTGAATGAATGGTACGTAGCATTGTTGAAATCCAGTGAAATCACACACGACTGACACAGTGCTTCCGCATGATGACGCTTAAACTAACTGATTAAGCTTCCTTCACTTCAAAGATTAGCTGCATCATGCGTTGTCTCCCCACGGAAAACCGTGAACCACGTACCCAAAGACGTGCTCGGACTTGATGGTTGTTTCGAACCGGCGCTACATACAGCACGGCCATTTGGATCAGCAAGTGTGGACATAGTTGACATGTGTTTTTGGCCGATTGCATAACCCCTTGGGAATAGTGCAGTCGGACAAAGAAATTCGGATTATGAGGCTGTGGAACCATCGATCATATATTTTCGGACGCCTGGTGCTTTCTGGGCGCGTGCGTCATGTTCCCATGGGTATCAAACGGACTGCTCTGTGTACTGGCGTGGTTCATGCTTGGCCGTTTAGTTCGCGTCGCGCGCATTCCAAAAGTTTATTTGGATAGGAACAAACTCTTCTTGAACTTGGTTAACCCAATGGCTTTGCCAGCCGGGTGGTGTAACATTTTCGGGTAGTTGAACATTTTCATTATCTACCAGTAACGAATGGTCCACAGCTAGTGGATCAGAGGCGACGATCTACGTCATGCTTATTTGTACTTTAAGCTCCACATATGCCCATACGACGGTTCAGCCGCAACAAACGTGACCGGCCGCTGCCCCACGAAGTTTTTACGACGGTGGCTTGTGTGCGTGGCTTCATAGTGAGGCAGACTTTAGACGCATCTACCTCACCCCGCTCCGTTGTCAGAACAGCCGGAGGTGGGTTTGGACGCAGCGACTGGCGAAACCCAACATTCTGTACGATCTGGCCTCTACACTTATTGGGTTTCATTGAGATAAGGCCGCTGGATCTTAATCGTGTGAGTCGCGCGTGTGCCATATTTGGTCGGAACCATCGTTCTGTGACCCTTAGTTCTCAGCAAAACCGGCTCATCCTCTGAGTTGGCATTCCTCCGCCACGACTTTAGCACGTCGTCATAGACCCCGAGCATGTTTAGCGGCATATAGGGAGGAATCAAGTGTTGGACACGAGCGGAGTCGACGTCATTTCTCTACCTCCCACCCTCCAGTAGTCCGCTAAAGTCAACTTGACTGAAAATGAGAGTGACAATAATGGCTGGCGTAACTAGTGACGCTGCGCAGCCTAGCTGGCGCGTGTCGCGGGCCTCCGTTTTTGTCGAGCGTTACAACGACCCGTCCCCCTCGGAATGACAAGCAGGCACAATTGCTCCAACGGTTGGCAACACGAGGATCCCCAAATCGCATGCCAAGGAAGACAGACTATACTGGACAAACTTTACTGGTGTGAAAGGGTGTACGTGCAGCCCAGCAAGCTGTCCCTTCAGGCCTGTCGTGTGTTAGTGTCCTTTTTCTGGCTCGAGGTGTACTCGTCCCCAGCCAATCAGCGGACGAGCAGTATTGATTGGCTTGAAGAAGGAGACACGATCGCCGGGACAAGAGCTTTATTAGCCTGACGTTCCGGATTCCTACTCGAATCCATCATCAGAGACAAAAAAGCAGAAACGGGTGGTTGTTGCTCAAGGGACTGCGGTATTTATAGGATGCAGTAGCCATGCTACCGCATACCTATGAACATTCACGGCTCCCCCTTCATTGATTGATTGGCTTTGAACCCCCCGCGAGACTAATGTCAAGCCTCGCGCGGTCCCCACAGCGGATCGACTGGGAGTGGGAAACGCCAAGAGGGGCAGCGTGAGAAATCGATGACAATTGTGGACTGCCGCAGCACGTGCACCACCACCTTCCATAGGGGATGCGGTGGGGCGGACCTACGCCCCTTTGACATAACTTCACTCTTTCCGCGTTGCGATGGCAAAGTGTTAACGATCAGGTTAAAGCCTGCGGATTCTACCCGATAACTGTTGCGTACTGTCTTTCGGCCCGTTAGAGCTGCAGCTCTTGGGTGCTTTTGATCACGGCTAGGTGGGAGGTGGCATCTCTTGTAGTTACAGGCGTGCATTCTATCTGTCTGTGAGAGTTCATGCGTGGATGTTCACATCATAATCGCAAGGCAGACTGAATAATTCATATTGACCCAGTCGTGAAAAATTCTGCCCCACGGTGTGATTCGAACCCACGACAGTAAGAGGAAGGCTTTAGTACAGTCAACGATCTTACCACCCGAGCTACGAGACCGCGCCGGACAACTCGAGTTTAATCGCATTTGGGTCAAGTTTACCCGCCAAATCTACTGCAACGTCTGGAATCCACCAGATCTGATACAGTAAGTTGACTGCCCAAGCACGATTTCCTAGGTAATTCACCTAGAATCCACCAGATGACTACCAGGCTCACGCAATTCATAGATGTATTGGCAGACCTTGAATAATGCATATTGACCCAACTGTGGAATTTACTGCTTTGTGACACTTATTCCGCAATGATGCTTGCTACTGGTGACTACGGTTCGTCTGGGGAGCAAATATGTTTGGGTAATTAACTGGGTGTGTGACTTTCTATAAGGATTAGTTTAAGGGGGGGGGGGAGAGGCCAGACCATCCGTCAAGGTTGAATTCGGATCTGGTGGTGGCGGAAGTAAGGCCTGTGAAAGCCGCTCCTGCTATTGCCGTGGCACATTGACGGAAAGACTGCATGGCATTCCTGCGTCTGACAAATCCCTCCGGAGGCTTTTTCAACGCCCTAAGCATGGTCTGTACCAGAACAAGACTGAGTTTGGTCCTTGCTCCATCCCAAAATCCGCCGGAGGATGCTGTGGCATTTTTTTTGAGCGACCAACTCCTGGAAGTGATATAGATTGCACCGGTCCGGATGAAGCCAGTCTAGGCGAAATTGACTATGATGGTGTAGTTCCCTCGAAATCAGTCTGTTCTCAAAAGCGTCTCCCGGTAACTGACGGGTGATAGAGCAGGCCTCAGTTCCGGGTTCATGTCTCGGCTCACTGAGAGCCCTGTACGTAGCGATCCTTTCTTTTGTCACTGTCCTCTTCACAGGGCATCCCAAGCGATAGCTCGACCGTCGCATCCGACGATATCCACCGTATGCTCCACAGCGGGATTGGAGCAGAGGTGGTGAATTGTGCGAAGTTATTTTATAGTGATAGTAGACCTGCACAGCGCCCACCGAACCCTCTCCTCCTCCCTCACCTGTACTCGGTGTCAGGGCAGAGTCAAGAAGGCGGGGGGGGGGGCACAGGACGATGGCACGGTCGAGCCCGCACTTTGGCGTTCCACTCCACACCCCCTGGCCCACACAACAAATAACCAGGTTTTGATCAACAACAATAATGGGGAGGGGCGACGCCTGCTGGCAACCTGGTCTGCCACCGCATCCTGAAATGTTGACATGTGTTACGGTGTGCAAGTCTGATAATGCCTACCAGAACCCAATATGGCGCCCGTGTTGGTCCAGCGCATCCACCACGTGACCCGTTTGGGGGGCATGGCTAGCCAAAGCACAGTGTAGTAAACATCTACATCTATTTCGTGTATTCGCGACGATCCCGACTTCAAACTTATTTTACTTGTCTTTGTCGGTATTTATGGTCATGGAGAGGATCGATAGGAGAATGAAAGCTGAGTTAATTTGCATGCGACGCGATCGAGGTCAAAAGGAAATGGCAGATAAGAACCAACAGTTTACAGCTTTTGACGAGAACCAGGAAGTGAGTACGTCGGTTTCTGAGACTGAGTCGCATGCATACTTCCCTATCTCTTCCCCATGGACATTTTCCGGTTTCACTCGAGCAGTGTCCTAAGTTCACAAGAGAAGTTACATTTTTCTCTGTTTATTCGTGATAGTTAATGGCAGTGGCCGCCGACTGTGCTTGCACATCCTAGAGAGAAATGTAGTCTCAAAAACTGAGTAGGCATCTTTCGTTTACCTCGGACCACGGTGTCTTAAAAATCTTTTCTGGAAACCTCAATTTCACCCTCTCCAACACATGTCCCCGTCCTGAAGGCTGAGCCAAGTTGGGGTGGGCGAAGCAACGTCCCAGCTCGAGAAGTCGTTCGTCCATTATTCTTAGCACATCTAAGTAAGTACACTGTAAGGTTTTGGACCACTAATAGGTGTTTACGTCCCTTGCGAGGATGACCACGTGGAAACTCTCGTACCAGCAAAACGCTTCTTGTCATGAGTTTTCGGTGACTGGACGCCGTCGTTGGTCCCGACCAACCCCGTTCAAACGGTAGTCTGCGCACTTCACAAAACTACGCTATAATCGTTTGTGCCAAAAACAGAAGAAAAATGACCTCTCAAGCTCGGCCATGGCATGTCCCAGTTTGACCCAGCCCTTAAGACGGGGATGTATGTTAGTGTCGCGACAGCTCCACAGCAGAGTGGGAGCAGGGACGGTGAGTTGTGCGAAAAGTTACTTTATAATGATAGTAGGCTTGCGTAGCACCCGCTGCACTCTCTCCTCCTCCCCATCTGGACCCGGTGTCAAGACAGAGTCAAGAAGACTGGAGGCGGGCGAGGGCGCAGGACGATTGCACGGTCGAGGCCGCACTTTGGCGTTCCACTCCACACCCCCTGGTCCACACAGCAAATAACCAGGTTTTTAATCAACAACAACAATGGGGGGGGGGAGGAGGAGGCGGCAGGGGTTCCAGTGTGCGCGACGTCAGCTAGCAACCGGGTCTATCACCGCACCCTGAAACTGTTGGCATTTGTTTCGTTGCGCAAGTCTGATGACGCCTGCCAGAATGCAATATGGCGCCCGTGTTGGTCCGGCGCATCTACCACGTGACCCGTTTGGGGGCACGGGTAGCCGAAGCACAGTATAGTACACATCAATCCTCGACATATATGCCATGCATTCGCGATGATCCCAACAGCAAACTTATTTTGGTTGCCTTTGTATGTATTTATGTTCATGGAGAGGACCGATAGGAGAATGCAAGGTGAGTTAATTTGCTTGCGACGCGATCGAGGTCAAAAGGAAGTGGAAGCTAGTAGACAACGGCTTACAGCTTTTGACGAAAAACAGGAAGTGAGTACGCCGGTCTCTGAAAATGAGTCGCATGCATACTTCCCTATCTCTAAGCCATGGACATTTTCCGGTTTTACTCCAACTGAGTCCTAACTTCCCAAGAGAAGTTACATTTTCCTTTATTTATTCGTGCCAGTTAATGGCAGTGGCCGCCGACTGTGCTTGCACATACTTGGGGGATACGAAGTCTCAAAAATTGAGAAGTAGGCATCTTTCGCTTACCTCGGGCCACAGTGTTTTAGAAATATTTTCTGGAAACTTTAATTCCGCCCTCTCCAGCACAAATCCCCTTCCTGTGGGCTGGGCAAAGTTGGGGTGGACAAAGCAACAGCCCAGCTCGAGAAGTCCTTTGTCTATTATTCTTAGCACACATAAGTAAGTACACTGTAAGGTGTTGGACCACTTGTGGCGTGTTTACGTCCCTTGCGAGCATCACCTTGTGGAAACTCTCGTACCAACAAAGCGCTTCCTGTCATTAGTTTTCGGTGTACTGGACCACCTTTTGAAATTCCGGTCGTTGGCACCGACCAACCCCGTTCAAACGGTAGTCTGCGCACTTCACAAACCTCCGCTTTAATCGTTTGTGCCAAAAACAGAAGAAGAATGACCTCTTAAGCGCGGCCATGTCCCCTCCCAGTTCGACCCAGCCCCTAAGAGGAGGACGTGCGTTAGTGTCGCGACAGCTTAAGCCAGTGAGAATAGCCACTACGACCCCCAGGTCCGGTCCCGAACAGAAAGTGAAGGAGCTGGACGCCAATTGCGAAAATAGCGCATTCTGTACAGAATAACTGGAGAAGGGATCAGAGAGAGTTGGTAGCCGAACGCCGGAAGAGCTGCGCCTCGATTGATTATGGGGAATGTGTCACAGCGCCTTGTGCGAGAGCACGCCTGTGTCGGCCTTGAAGATGCCTGAGCAGTTTGGGCAGCCGTGATTGGCTGAGAACCAGACTGCAGTAGTGTGTACGCGCGAGTACTTGCGCAATGCGCAGCGTTGCAGCAGGCGATCGGGGTATGGTCACTACACTAGCATGGTGGTCAAGCTACAAAAATGACAAACAGGGACGTTACTGAGCCTTTTTCAGTTGTTACCCTCCAATCTACTCGAACGGCTGCGGCCATCCGCACACCGAAATAAAATTGCTTTACCAGCTTACTTCTTATGATTGTTTTTGGCAAATTTGAATAAGTCGCTTGACTCACGGCGAAGGAGACACGATTGCAGGAAGAAATGCTTTATTAGCCTGACGTTTCGGACTCTCACTCGAATTCATCATCGGAGACAGAGTCAGCCAGTGCCTGCGTAAACGAGACGAAAGACAAAAGCCAACCGCCCCAAAATTTTTGCCAGCTGTCCCGTATGTTAAGATTTTCTTGGAAGCTATCAGCCGCCTCCTTTAGCCCCTTGGGATTGGAGTTGCACACAGATCGGAGACAACCACACGGCGACAGATCATGAGACCGAAAGACCCACTGCAAGGGCAGGCAATGGCTGGAGTCGTTTACTGGGTCTGGTGCAGTTGTGGGAAAAGCAACTACGTCGGAGAAACCAGATGACTACTCCAGACGCGGTTGGCCGAGCACACGGCAGCAGTGAGGAGGAACGTCGCCAACGCCCAAGTCGCAGCTCATTCGAAGGGACCCAACCACACATTCGAGTTTGACGATGCAGAAATTCTTGCCAGAGGTGACAACCGCGTGAACGGCGAACCGCTCGAATCATGGTTTTCAGGTCCTCAATCAATCAACAGGCGCCACGACCTCCCAACTCCATATTCGGCACTGAGACTTAACCTAAGCATAAATTTGATCGCGAGGCGGGCGTGCGGATAACCACTGTCACCGTTATCACTATCGGCGAGCTAAATCACCCAAATGTCCACACGGATGGCGAAATCCAGTAGTCAGCCTCTCGGCGGCGTGCGATGAGCGTGGGAGCCGATAACCTTGACCGGTGTACAGGCGCCTAACAACTGCATGGCAACAGCATACTTCAACACCTGGCCAGGTGAGCTGTGATGCACTCGGTAGCTGCCAACTGTAGTAGGCATGTAGGGGCCTAGCAACTAAATCCTATAAATATTGCAAAATTTGACTCAGTTGTGAAAAACTCGGCGGTCTTGGTAGGATTCGAACCTATGACAGCATGCGCAAGATTTGAGTACAGTCGACGCTCTAGCTACGGGAGCTAAGAGACCGCACTGGGGAACTTGAGTTTAGTCACATTTGGTGGATTCATTCTCGATATCTTAGGAAATCCTGCCTGGGCAGTTTGTCTACTGTATATAAATGCGTGAGTTGATACGATACGTTTGGCCAAGCGGATAACTTGGTCCAACTGTGGCTAGACTCACAGCTCCCGGTCAAGACCCCCTAGCTCAGGTGGTTAAGACGTTGTTTGTACTCACGCCTTGCGCCCTCCTGTCGTGGGCTCGAATCCCATCGAGACCGCCAACTTTTTCCTCACTGGACCAAATGGATTAAGTCACGTTAATTTGAAACGGCAGCCATAAATGGTCGAGCTGGCTGTGTCGTAGGTTCTGAACCTAACTGCTGTTGCGGACACCCGAGCGAAAACAAAACAGTTGACACGCCCGACTGTCCCCCCCCGCCACACCGAGAACCTCAGTCGCGTCGGTCTCATGCATGCGCTAAGTGCATTCACTAGGCTCATACGCTTAGCCGTGAGGCTGTCATGGAGCCATGGCGGATCGATACCGGAGCACTTCTCACCACCCGGTTCGGGCGGCCAGGTAGCTGTCAGCGCCTGTCACTAAAAGCCACTTAGACGACCGAAAGTCGAAGGGGCACACAGGCGATAATAGCGCAGCAGCCGTGACATGTAGTACAAGTGATGCGGCAGAGGCGAGACAATTATTTTTGCTTATCTGGGCAGTAAATTAAATTGAATGTTATTATCGACAAAGACAAGAGAGACTGGAATAGCCATTGCTGGATTATTAGCCGTCGTCAACCAGTCATACCCAACCCCGACGTGTGCAACACCCGAGGCTCGAACTCGCGACCTGTTAGTTAGAAGTCTGACGCCTCTAACCACTGGACCACGGGCCCGTTCTCCTGTGGGTTTTCGATCGAGAATATAGAATTCTAGAGGGGCGCTCACCGATCGTTCTTACGGAACTCACTCGTTACGTAAACTAAACTCTCACATCTCGGTTTCATACTGACTGTTAGTAAAGGCTTACAAAACGATCGTAACGAAATCATTCTATCGCTAATTTCTGTGAAGATTATGAAAAATATTTAACCGTGGGATATGTAGAAGCGCAATAGCCTATAACAGGAGGTTTTTAAAATCCAAAAGCAGAGAGATGAAGTTAAATGGGGAACACTTACTGCATCAGGAGAGCACATAAGCGGCTGAGAAGTCGGCGACAGTGGTTGCCTCACGGAGCTAAACTCGTCGTAGCTTTGTCCGCTTACAGCCAAGTATGGGGAACGAAAACAAGCAATTGGTAACTCACCGCAACGATATCACTGCGAGGGGAACGCGATTGCTGGAATAACAGCTCTTGTTCCGGCGATCGCGTCTCCTTATTGGCGGCTGCTTCCTGTGACTCGCGTCTTAACTTTCACCAACAATGTCATAGCTCGTTTGGTGAGCCCTAGCGGTCTGGCTGTCGGCCTGTTAATTTTAGAGTACTAGGAAGCGTTCCTATCAAACTACAAGGTCAGCGGTTGTAATCTCGAAGCCGACAGATTGGACATTAACTCCGGTGAACTCCTGAAACTGCACCGCATTGTCACTTTCCATTAACTGACGTAAACGTTTCAACTTACGTGGTCAATTAGAACCACAGGTTTTCCATATCTGTTTATGCTAACTAATATCTTCGAATACCCATCATGCCCACATGTTCGTGAGGGAAATGAAAGATTTACACTTACTGCAAATTCATATCGATCCGACTGTGAATTGATTAGGAAATCCTGCTTGGACAGTCAACTTACTGTATCAGATGTGGTGGATTCCAGACGTTGCAGTAGGTTGGGCGGGTAACTTGACCCAAATGTGATTGAACTCGCGTCGTCCGGCGGGGTCTCTTAGCCCAAGTGGTAAGAACGTTGGCTGTACTAAATCTTTCCCCTTACTGTCTTAGGTTCGAATCCCACCAAGGCGCCGAGTTTTCCACAGTTTGGTCAATATGAATTATTCAAAATCTGCCCAAACAGCTATGATTTACTGTAAAGTCAAAAATTGCTTCAGTCTATTATTTTTGTCCTTTAGACCGCGATGTTTAGGGACACGTTCGCCCAAAGTTTTACCTAAGCAGCCCAGGAGTCGGGACACATCACCTTAGAGTTGTCTATGTGGTAGAGGTGCATACGGAGCATACGAGGGCCTTCGGGTTAGGTGCGTTGTTCGTTCTAAAGCACTCTGATCTTAAACTGCTGGCGGAATTCCTGAATAAAAGAGTGAAAGCCTATGCTTAAGTTAGTAAAACTTTTGATATGCTGAACTTAAAACCGAAAAACAATGATATACGTAAATCTGTCGTCTGCTGTTGAGCTAGGCCGCTAAACAGAACTTACCACCCACTCCTTTATTGCCGCTAAATGTTACTGAATCTTAGACAGTAGACAGATATTTTGAAATTAAGTAAGGATCGTTTTCGAAGGCGACACCTCATACCTTGGCATTGGACTTGGCAATGTATCTAATCGAAAGGCAGAATTCACGCTTAGGTGGCTTGCATCGCACGGAAGGCACAGGTCCGCGTGCGTTTGTCAGAATGAACAGACGTCAGAAGTACCTGCACCGTTCTTTTTCGTCGGACGCCCCTGACAGGCTAACAAGCCCATTGAGCAATGAACAACACAAAGCGCTTTACTGGGTCTAGCGTGAGGGTAGTGAACAAGTTCAGATAATTGTTCAGAAAGCCCCCATGGAAACTTCACCGAATCACGGACCAGTGAGAGCCTTTTCTTGTGTGGAATCTGGGCCACGACAACTGCCGACTTTGGACACAACCAGTTTAAAAGCAAAGGAAGTACATCTAACAACTCATGTGTTGTCGACTTCCTTCTTGCAAAGGGGCGCTGTAACTGCACTAGAAATGAAGTATATTGTATCTGAATAGGCATCAGTGCGTTGTAAAGGGGAAACAAAAGATTTACCTGACGGATTGCTAAAATGAAAGCAGTTTCTTTAAGATACGTAGCCAGTCTCGTTGTCTTAACCGTTCGCTTTGTTTTGCTCTAACCAGTAAAGATTTTACGCCGGGCATGACTGCTCAAAACGGCTTTGCAGTAATTTCAGCATCGCCATTGACAAGCGTGGTCTAGAGTAAAGGCGTTATATATATTCGAGAAAATCTGATTGCAATCAAAAGGTGAATCCTGATTTAATTATTTTGCATCCTACAGTAGATGTGCTAACTCATGAAATGTCAACCGAAATTTCGAAATGCGTTCTCGTTTTTGAAAAGATTACTTAAGTAGTGTTGTAAATCTGATCAGGATTCTTTTTGAATTCTACGGCTGTTTCACTGAACTAAAGGTTCACACCCGACCAGTTCAAGTGAGTTTCCTCTCCTGATTTCCTTTTGATTCACGCCTGATCTTGAGATTCCTGACAGACTGGTTTAAGTAAGGTTATTCGGATCAAGATTCCAGTCTGGAAGAAGACAAAATCTTCAAAAGGTGTTTCGACTTTTGATATGGGAGCATGGGTAGCCTCAAAGCAACAAGGGGCTTGTATGCAATGACAAGGAGGTTTGAGATAGGTTCAGCTAATTAGGTCATCTTGTGTGAGATTTGACAATTAGCTAATCGCTATCCGTTTCGTCAGCACAACCTCTCCCGATTCTTTTGTAAACAAAAAAACATGAAAAAATGACTCACATTAGACTCCATAGACAGCAGCAGCTGCCGATGCAGGTGGTACGAAGAATCCAACCACCCCTAAAGCCTTCCTCTCCCACGTTCCGTGAAGCTTCTGCAATCCGGAACCCGACGCTGGAGTTTTGTAAACAGTTGGATTTTGTTATTGACGTCACATTGTTGTGACAGTCAAGGCGTGTTAATCAGACTTCCCGTCGCATCCCCATGGCTCAGCTGACAAACTAATTATTAATTAATTTTTATTTTATCCACAATATTAAAACCACTCAATGACCCCCTGAAGTTGGAAGAAGGACCTTGAAATTTGATGATAGCATTAACTTCGAGTTTATTTGCTTGGGCTATTTTGCGTTAGACTCAGTTAGGCGTATGTTGTCTCGCTCCCTGAAGACGCTCAATCGCCTACCAATGGAGCATTCACAGAGACGAACTCTTCGCCGAAAATATTTCGCATGTTTTGGTAGAAGATTTTCCGTACTGGAGGGCACTGTCATCTGCGGAGTTTATTGTTTAACTCAGACGGTAAGAAGATGATCCGGTCCAGAAGCGTTGATCTCACATTGAGGCGAATTAATTGAGACTGTATGTGGTCACCGCAAGACCCCCCTGATCGACGTAGAAAGAAACTTTGGTAAGGTGGATTGCTCGAATTACGTAAACTCTAGGCCTTAAGCGTAAAAATGCTTTCTATCTGTCATTAAACGGCCATAATAAATTGCAAGTAAAGAGTAAATTCCAGCCAGTGCCTACACTTTCACAACAATGAATGCAAGACGCTTAGACCTGCCTCCTGTGGACCAGAAGTATATTTACTTGTCGGAGATCGCGTCAACATACCTTTGATACAGGCAATAGCTCAGTGCAGATAAAAGTTATTCGTTGAATTTCCGCTGGTACATAGAGCAAATTGAGCGGCTTGGTTGATCCATCTGTCACCCAGCGTGTCCTGAGACGAACGTTTCGCCGAAAATATCCGCCTGTTTTTAAAGAATGTTTTCCTTACTGAGAGCACTGTCATCTGCGGAGTTTACTGTTTACTGTATTGCAGAGGTATATTTACAGTAGATATACTAACTCATGAAATGTTAACCGAAATTCTAAAATGCGTTCTTGGTTCGAAAAGATTAATTAAGTAGGGTTGTAAAACTAATCATCGTTCAGCGTAATTCGATAATAATTCAGTTACCTCTGGATGCCGGTATTCGAAGGAACCCCTTTCCGGCCGCATGCAAAAGCTATAATTTGCAAAAAATGACTGCTTAGATAGCATGAATTTTCCCTTTCGTTTTCGATGCCCTTAAAAATTCAATTATATTTTATGACAAACATGCATGAAAAGATCAATTTTCTTGCCCATTGGATAGAAAATTACGTCTTCTTCCAATTTTATACTCGAAGGAAGGGCATAATTCGGTTTTTAAAAACATTCCCAACTCGCGAATAATTTTGAATCCTGACCCTCCGTTACACTTGTTTGCAGGGTTTCCAAACTACAAGCCGTACATTTTTTGTGTAACCGTACATTTCTTTATGGTACTAATAAGAATCCATATGGCGTTCATAAAATTTAGCGGTGGAGTTGAGTAATATGGTTAACTTTACAATCCACATTGGTAAATGAAAAGGCATGAAGTCTCATTGACGGTCATTTCACATTATTAAAAAAATCTAATAATGAGCAGCTGTTTTAAAACATAATTATACCCTTCCTTCGAGTGTGAAATTTGAAGAAGAGGTATTTTTTTACCGAATGAGCAAAAGGATGAATATTTTTATGCAAGTTTTCCATGAAATATGATTGAGGTTTTAAGGGCATTGAAAATCAATGAGAAAAATGCATGCTCCCTAAGTAGTAATTTTTTACAGAACATGGTTTTTGTATGCAGCTGGAAAGAAGTTACTTCAAAAACCGTCATCCTCAGGTAACTAAATTATTATAAATTTACGCTGAGCAATCATTTGTTTTGCAACCCACTTAATTATTCTTTTCAAATCGAAAATGCATTTCAGAATTTCGATTAACATTTCTTGAGTCAGCGCACCTACCGTAGTTCCGGTACTGAGCCTTCGAGGATGTGGATAACTTAACTTTCGGCAGCAAAATAGTGAGGGCCCGGAATACTTAATTTTAGCCTGATGGCTCAATTCAGTCAGCCACGTACTACCCTCGAACCCGGTAGACCCACTTAAATATGAAAGCAGTTGATTGTTAAACCAGCGTTCCGACATCGAGACACAAACTTGCTGGCTGGAATCGGAACTGCGCAACGCCTCCTGGCTGTAGTGTTTCCCAATTTACGGCCTTATTTAATTTCTGAACTTGGAGTATATTCCTCGGAATAGACCTTTAGCTAGTACTTGTGTTATCAATATGGAAAGTATAATCCCAATTTAGCTTGGCTGCTGAATGAACCTCCAACGCATCGTTTACCTTGGAAACCGTCGTCTGAGATCCGTTATCTGCGAATATTCGAGAAACAGGAGACACTTCCTTCCCGCGTATGTCAAATTTAAAAAAAACAGCGAGTTTTCAGTCAAGTCACAAATAAAGTGCTGGAGCGTCTAACTACCATCATTCTGTCCAAGTGCCGAAGACGTCCGCTGCTATTTTTTAGGAATGCAGCAATGTATTCATTTGTGTATGTGTCGTCAAATGTCCTACCCGTTATTTTATTGACTAGCCTACCTTGGTGGAGCGGTTGCTTACCGAACATCTGTCCCCGTAAACAAAAAATTAATATCTCGGTTTCCGGATTTGATGAAGTGTTTTTTCTTCCACATTTATGTCTGTTTTGACCTGTGTATCTAAGTATTTGTTTATCAGGATGGCGGTATTTTAGAGTTTCGCCACAGTACATTTCCCTCGAAGTCGGATTTTTTGCTAAATCCACGGATATCCTCAATTTACTGTCCTGTTAAAAATAAAACTTCTTCGGAACATATAAATTCTATCGTAAAGTAGTCCATGCCGTGTCAAATTTTCAGTTCTGTGTCATAAATTATTTATTAGAGTTCTAGGGGGATTATTCCAGTAACGCACGAACTCAACAAGCCACTTACGGCAGCTGCTAGTAGGAAAAACGGGTCTTGCAGACACATTGGTCGTACCTTCCCCTCGCTCGTCGTGCGAATAGCTGGAGTTGCTTAAACATGAGACGAATCGTAATTCACAGAATCATGACTTTTTGAATATATTTCCGCCGGCGCACTTGTCAGCAATCGGTTTATCGCATGGAGATGGAGATTCAATGATGGTGAATATGCGCTAACTGGTCTGGGTGTTATATTATCTTCAGATGACTCACTCACCGCTTGATAAATGTGTGTATTAGCAGCTGGAGCATTTATCATCAGTATTATTTCGTGTTTTTTGGGTAAACTACTGGTAATAAGTCCTACTCAGTATTCGGAAATGGCAAAATTAGGAAAACACCGGAAATGTTTGCTAACTTTGTCTTTTTTGACTACTTACGTGGGTGCCGCAGGCAACTCCCCAGGCATAAAGCCTAATCTACAAAGCACTCATAAGTGCGCAATTGCATTCCTATTAAGTCACTCATTTTGAGCCGTGCCAATATTTCTGCCTATTACAATAATGATGTTTTATACCGGTATGAGTTCTAGGATGAAAAACGGTTACAAAATTCAGTTCCTCTACGCAACCGAGTAAATATCGATCTGTTGGCCGCTGGGAGCAGAGGAGCAATACTTAGTAGATGAGAGATTTGTCATCGTCCGAAAAGATCAGCTATGAACACCCCAAAACGTATTAGTTCCGGGCTCCCAGGAAGTGGATTTCCTCTCCCTGCGGCGGTTTCCGAACAAATTCCATATCTAGGTGTCCTCATCCACTGAAGGATAGGGGAATATAGGCAGGATAACATTACGGACAAAGATAAGGCAGACTGAATTGGCCATTTCTGGCTTATTGTCTGTTGTCAGCCAGCCATACCCAACCGCGAGGCATGCAACACCTGGGACTCGATCCTGTGACCTGTTTGTTAGAGGTCCAACGTCCCTGACTACTGATCCACGGGCTAGTTGACTTGCCGGTTGCAAATGGCTGTATACGATGGTAGGGAGGTGGGACGATCACAGACCATTTTTAAGGAACTCACTCGTCCCGTTGTGCCTTAGGGCTCTCTCTCTCTCTCGAGACCAAATGGCAGCCGCAAAACGGCGTATGATTTAGGCAGAATAACATGGAAAAACAGGTGAATTTCTGCATATGCCTTTGCATCACAAAGAGACATCCTCGGAGATCATACTCCTGCATTAAGAAAGTAGACGCTCTGTGTCTCGCTAAGGACATCTGTCGGCGGTCAACTAAATCAAGCTAGCTCTTATTTATCTGGCAAAAAACTACGAAGTGGCGATGAAATACTGGTTAGATGTTGTTATGTAGCCCCACCTGATGGACACAATACTGTTCGGGTTGGGGTTAGGGTTAAGGCAACCATTTCCCAACCATTCAAAGCACCTCTGCGCATTCTCAAGGACTTTTCTTTTGCATACAACTACTTGACCTCGTCATTTGCGTATTGCTAGGCCCCACCTGTAAAAATCCCTATCACCACCGGTCACGTAGTACAGGTGGTTGAGGTTTGTTTACTTCATGAACACAACTGACTGAAATATTTCTTAAAGCGGTACTCCCCCAACGGATGCCGTCTGAAATGCGTGTGCAGAGTTACGAAGCGACGAGGGCCAAAAAGACATAGAGTAGGTGAGCTAACTCATGAAATGTCAACCGAAATTCCGAAATGCGTTTTCGTTTCGAAAAGGTTAATTAAGTAGGGTTGTAAAACTGGTTAGCCTGCAGCATAATTCCACAATATTTCAGATACCGGAAAATGTCGGCTTTTGAATAAACGTCCTTTAGGCTGCATGCAAAAACTACGCACTGTAAAAAATGACTACTTAAGTAGCATGTCTTTTTTGTCGATTTTCGATGCTCCTGAAAGTTCAATTATATTTCGTGGAAAGCATGCATCAAAATATTCATTCCTTTGCGCATTCGATAGATAATTACGTTTTCTTCTAATTTTATGCTCGAAGGATGTGGATACTTTGGTTTTAAAAAATTTATTATTGTGGGCCTTTTAAATACCGTGTAATGGCCGTTCAGAAATCGTCATGACTCTGCATTTACTAATGTGGCTTGTAAAGTTAAAAATATGGATCAAATACACTGCTTACTTTTATGAACCCTATATGGTCCTCTTATATTACCATAGGGAAATGCGTGGTTTTCTGTACGCGGAAAATAAACAGCTTGTAGTTTGAAAACCCTGAATCTATGTGTAACAGTAGAGCGGGTCCAAAATTATTCGGGAATTGAAAACTTTTCCGAAAACCGAATTGAAAGAAGGTATCATTTTCTACCGAATGAGCAAGAGAATGTGTATGTTTATGCATGTTTTTCATGAAATATGATTGTACATTTAGATGCACCGAAAATCAGCGAGAAAAATTCATACTAATTAAGTAGTCATTTTTACAGAGTTTATTTTTGTATACAACGGGAAGGAGGTTCATTCGAAAGCTGGCATCCTGCGGTAACTGAAATATTATAGAATTATTTTGAAGTGTGACTAATTTTACAACCCTACTGAATTAGTTTCTTGGAGGCGAAAACGCATTTCGGAATTTTGGTTGACATTTCATGAGTTAGCCCACCTACAGTAATTCCTTGGCTACTGCCTCCCAGAAGATGCATATCTACAGAAAAGAGGCCGTTTACAAATGTCGCCTGTAATATTAAAGCAGAATATTGTGTAGACCGGTAAGTCCGCCTTTACCAGCATGTATAAGAAGTAGCTAGCTCAAAGGTGACCACGCTTTCCGTCCTACGAAGTCAAGAAATTACTAGACACAGGCATGAACGGGACTGGGTGACGAAAACTGCCGATTCCTTAGGGAAATTAAGTCCTATGTGAGGCACTCGTCCATGGGCGCATCGACAGAGAAGCCCTGCGCACCTCCAGTCGTCCTGCTACTGGCACATGATAGTTCCGTGTGTGCGTGTGTGTGAGAGAGAGAGATTGACGATGAAAATATCCCATTTGCAAGAACTACTTCTTCCACGCAAGTCGGCACTGCGGCCGGGAGAAATTCGGCAGCCAGTAGTGTGTGTACCAACATCTCTACTTCGCTAACTACTGCTTGCATCCGCGCATGGAATGGGACAAGTAACGCAGCTCCAACCACCTTGTCCTACCACTCCCCTACATGAATATCCATGACTTGGGGCGGGGTTGGGGTACCTATCGCCCCCCTTTCTCTCCCAGGATCTGATCTTTGTCCCATTTAGCGTTCTGGAGTGCCGCATCTCTGATAAAAGCGAACAGGCGAGTTCCCGATAGCTGGAGCAAGAAGTTTATTTGCCTGACGTTTCGGACTCTGTCTTGAACCCATAATCAGAGACAGACGCAGACAAGGGCAGTGGATGCACAAAGACTACAGAGCTTATAGTATGTAGCTGGCGTGGAACCTATCGTAATTACCTCCAGGTACCATATTCAGCGCTGAGACATTCCCTGATCGAGGGAATCAGTCACGTGGGGAGGGCGCGGACGCTCAACTATCCTGGTGACAGCGGACAAAATGGCCGAGTAATCTTCACGTCCACATTCAACATGGATGAGGAGATTGTGGCAATTTACGACTCGGACGCGGCCTAACGAGCCATCATCGCCTTAGTTACGATTCCCATCGGTGGTCACAAGAGCTGTTAATTAGAGTACGCATGTGGCTCCACGGCAGATATGTGCTATAAATACTGCAGTCTTCGTGCCTCCACTGCCTTTATCTGCAACCGTCTCGTATGATGGGTTCGAGTGAGAATCCGAAACTCCATGCCAATAAGCTTTTTGTTCCAGTGATCGTTTCCTCTTCTTCTTCGTCTCCTGAAAGAATTTGTGCAGGTGCTCTCGACTACATTAAATGTGCAGTTCCTTTTTGACAACCAACTCTATAGACAACAAGAAGGCGTTGCTATGGGCTCGCCTCTTGCACCTCTCTTAGCCGACTTCTTCATGGACAAGCTGGAGAGATTTCAACTAAGCGATCAGATCAAAAAGCTTAAACATTATGGTCGCTGCGTTGATGACATCTTTGCGATTGCAAACACAGAAACCGACGTCGCTGCCCTCCTAAATGCTGCAAATTAGGCACATCCGTCGATCAAATTCACGTTGGAGATAGAGTCGGCTGGTTTGCTTCCTTTCCTAGATGTCATACTAAACAGGAGATCTGACGGTAGCATCCGAAGGAGCGTCTATAGGAAGAAAACCTGGTCTGGACAATACACGAACTTCGCTAGTTTCGTACCTCTTCAACAAACACGGAATCTAGTCAGGTGTTTGGCACAAAGGCTAGGAAAATTTGCTCAACAGATAGCGTCGAGGAAAAACTTAGAAAAATCCAGGATTTCTTTCGCAAAAATGGATACCCTGACAGGTTCATTGCAAAGACCCTTGCCGAACGACCCACAAAAACCCGCCACACTAACCGCCGAAAAGAAAACGTTGTTCCTCAAAGTCCCCTTCCAAGGAAACGCTGCAGGTGAACTCCTAAGAAGACGCCTTGACCAAGCTGTCTCGGGAACCTTCCCAGCAGCAAGGGTTCGCATATCATTCTCTAC